GTCTTACTAGCTGTCCATCTGGGGATGCCTGTCTCCACCTGACTCTGTCCATGGGACTGTTTCCACCGGGATTTGCCTGTGTTCTGTGTAGGTACACCCCCGTTCCTATATGGCTGCACCTTCTAGGAATGATTGTTTAATGACCTCCACAGACATGTTTTCTTGTCTGCCCATGTGACTGTATGTGACTAGGGCTGAGTATCACTCCTCCTGCATCTCTGTCTCTGACTCTTCCTGCCGGGTATCCAAATGACCACTTCTGTATGGGTCTTCGTGTGTCAGGTGGTTTCTGGCTGTCTGTCCACCCGATTCTGCTCATGTGATTGATCGGCTGGGTCTGCCTTTGTATGGTGACTTATCCCCATTTCTCCAACTCTGGTCACATGCATCGATCCATCTGGGTCTGAGTGCATCTCTGCCTGGGTGTGCACAGGACCGTATCTCTCTGCATCCGTGCCTCATGGTTTGTCACTTTAATTCTGCACATCTGATTACAACTCTGGATCTCCTAGTGTTGGTAGCTGATGGGTGTTCTCTAAGCCTGTCCCCATCACTTGATCGTGGGTTTGACAAACAGCTATCTGGCTGGCTGGCTTTCTGACTAAATGGATGGCCGATTGGCTGACTGTCTAACTCCATGGCTGGCTGTGTGCTTCTCTTACTGTCTCATCCTTCATTGTCCAGCTCTCTGTCTGAGCAAATGGCTGGCTGGCTCTCTGTCTGACTTGCTGGCTGCATGTGTCTGATGCTGACTGGCCATCCAGGGTCCCCAGCCCCCGCTTCGGTGGTCCTGCCTACCCAGAAATACCCCATTGCCTCTTCCCTGTTCTTCTCTTGGAGCAGGCTGTGCCTTCGTGAAGTTCTCCTCCCACACGGAGGCTCAGGCGGCAATCCACGCCCTCCATGGCAGCCAGACCATGCCGGTGAGTAGGAGCTGCCCTAGGCCAAGGTGGTGGGCATGGGAAAGGGGTAAGGGGGCCCTGTTCCTACCATCCCAGCCACCTGGTAGTTCTTGGTTCTTCTTCATAGTGGGCATAGGTGGAAAAGGGGGCAGTTCTGGTGATGGTGCGAATGGGTGTATGTGTCTGTGTGATTGTACATATGTGTGAATGTATGTGTGTGAAAGAATGTACTGCCAGTGTGTGGCTGCATGTGTGTGTGTGTGTGTGTCTAAGAGAGCATGTGAGAGTGCATGCATGTCTGTGTGAGTACATGTGTGCAAGCATGTTAAGTGCATGAGTATGCCCAGGTGATGTGGGGGGAACAAGTACATGCATGTGCCTCTGTAGGTGTGTGTGTGAGGGTTTGTGAATATGTGTGTGGATGAGTACATGTGTGTATGTGTGGGTGATGGCATATGATTGTGTGTATAGTGACTGTATATACTTAGGTGTGTACATGTGGGATTTTGTGCATGTGTATGTGAATGCATTGTGCAAGTATGTGCGAGCATGCATGGTGAGCATGTATATGTGAGTGCTGTGCATGACTGAGCGTACGCGGTGAGTGAATGTGTGTGAGAGCACATGTATATGTGTGTGAGTATACAGGAGGGGTGAGACCTGAGGGTGGAGGGGATTTGCCGAGGCCAGCGGGGGGACGTAAGGGTGTGGGGAGTGACAAAACCAAAGGCAGGATCGGAATGGGGGGCCCCAGAGGAGCTGGGGAGGATGGGCTAGTGGGGCCTGCAGTTCAAGGCTGAGGCGCACAGATTCCTCCTATGGCCATGGGGAGCCACAGAGGGGTTCGACAGGGAAGGGAAGATGTCCGGTTTAGTTGGAAATGTCTCTTTGGGGCCAGAGTAGGGGTGAGCAGAGGCAAGACTGGAGCCAGGAACTTGTGGGTCAGCAGTGGTGTGAGGCTGGGAAGGACCACCCGGTCACTGGGGTGGCCCTGGCCCCCAGGAAGGAGGCTCTGGGAACCATCTTCACTGTATGTAAGTGTCTAAATCTGCATGGGGAAGACAGCCTTGGAGAACCAACTTGCCTCTCAGTTCTTGAAAATGGGTGTGGAGTGCAGGGCAGTCTCAGAAGAGCAGGCACCAGTTTACTCCCTGGACAGGCAGGATGTAGCTCATCACCAGGTCAGGCTTCCTCCTACTCAGAGCTGTCCAGCGATGGGCTGGCAGGCATAACAGGGAGTGAGCTCTCCATCCAAGGGGGCATGCCACCCTCTCTGATGGTGGGAATCTAACCTGTTCTCAGGTGCAAGGTGCCATTTGCAGAGTTATCCATCTGTGCCCCATTCCTCTCTGGTGACTGGATTCTCACCCGTTCTCAGGTGTAGGTGACAATTATAGGGTCCTCCACCCAGGCCGCCATGTTCCTTTCCAGCAGGTGGATTCTCCTTCTGTGTGTGTATGTGTGTGTGTGTGTGTGTTAAGATTTGTTGTTGATTTTTAGAGAAAGAGAGAAACACTGATTGGCTGTCTCCTGCACGCCCCCTACCAGGGAGCCTGTAACCCATGCATGTGCCCCAATAGGAATGTGTGTGTGTGTGTGTGTGTGTGTGTGTGTGTGTGTGTGTGTCAAGATTTGTTATTGATTTTTAGAGAAAGAGAGAAACAATGATTGGCTGTCTCCTGCATGCCCCCTACCAGGGAGCCTGTAACCCATGCATGTGCCCCAATAGGAATCGAACCAGAAACCTTTTGGTGCATGGGACAACATCCAACCAACTGAGTCACGCTGGCCAGGGCTCCTCCTGTTTGGGGGAGTGTGCCTGAGAGTCAGGGTCCTCCACTGTACCCCAGACACAGCCCCCTGGGCCCAGATGCCTCACCAGCGTGCAGGGGTGGTTGCATCGTCAAGTGCGAGACCCAGGACTCTGATCTTCGGGTTGTCTCCCTGTGGTGCCCAAAGTCTGCAGCAGGGGCTCATGGACAGGGCCAACAGCTGTTGCTCTCTGTAGTCCTCACCAGAGCTGGTGTGGTTCTGGGGACCCCAGATTCCTGGTTACCTCCCTTCCTTTCTTTTCCTTCCTGCTTGTGGCTGCTCCCGCAGGGTGCCTCCTCCAGCCTGGTGGTCAAGTTTGCCGACACAGACAAGGAGCGAACACTACGGCGCATGCAGCAGATGGTGGGCCAGCTGGGCATCCTGACACCGTCCCTCACCCTGCCCTTCAGCCCCTACAGTGCCTATGCGCAGGCCGTGAGTGACCCCAGCAAACAGGCTTTTGTCTCCAGTGGGACTTCCAAGGCTACTCTGCGGATCCAGCTCAGTCTCTCTCTCCATATAAGTCTCTGTTGAGGGGTTTGGCCTCTCTGCCCATCTTTATTTTATTTTCTTATTTTAAATACATTTTTATTGATTTCAGAGAGAAAGGGAGAGGGAGAGAGAGATAGAAACATCAATGATGAGAATCATTAATTGGCTGCCTCCTGCATGCCCCCTACTGGGGATCGAGCCTGCAACCTCCTGATTCATAGGTTGATGCTCAACCACTGAGCCGCACCGGCCAGGCTCTCTGCCCATCTTTCTGTCTCTTGCCTAGTCTCTCTGACTCAGGGTCCTATTCTGGCCATGGCTGAGCCCACAAATCCAGGCTGATTCCCAAGCCCCACACCTAGCTGAGCCCCCAGCCATAAACTGAGCCCTGAGCCCAAGCTGAACTTCTACTTGGACTGACATGACCCAATGTTCAGCCCCCAAATAATTCAGGTCAAGCTTCAACCCTGAACAGAGACCAAACCCAGACTGAGCCTCTAAGTCTCAGTTAAGTGTTGAGTTAAGTGTTGGCTGATCCCTGATCTTAGATCAAGACCACATTCTTGACTGGACCCAGATCCCTGGGTTAGCCATGATTCTTATGAGCCCTGATCCAAGGCTGAGCCCCATTTCCTGACTGATCCCTGACCCTGGCCTAAGCCAAGATATCCAGCCTGACCCCCCTAGTTACTGGAGGACCAGGCCTCCCCCTGGGACCTGTGACCTCAGGGCAGGTGCCACCCTGACTGTGCATCTTGACTCCCTCTCCACCCCCAGCTCATGCAGCAGCAGACAACGGTCCTGTCCACCTCAGGCAGCTACCTGAGCCCTGGCGTGGCCTTCTCACCCTGCCACATCCAGCAGATCGGCGCCGTCAGCCTTAATGGGCTGCCTGCCACACCCATCGCCCCTGCCTCTGGTGAGAGTCCGCCAGAGGCCCAAGGACGGGTGGGCAGGGCCAGAACCAGGCCCAGGCTCCTCATGATGTTTTTCTGCTCTGCAGGACTGCACTCGCCCCCACTGCTCAGCACTGCCGCCGTGCCCGGCCTCATGGCTCCCATCACCAACAGCTTTGCAGGTGTCGTGCCCTTCCCTGGCGGGCACCCTGCCCTAGAGACTGTATATGCCAATGGCCTCATGCCCTACCCAGGTAACTTGGGTGGTTCCCCAGGGCCTAGGAGAGCATGAGGGGGCAGGACGGTGTCTCTAGGACAAGCATAATTTCCTGTGTCTTGATGCCCCATGGAACAGAGAGGCAGAACAATGGGAGTCTCAACTGAGCAGATATGTGCTGGGGGCACAGAGAAAAAGGTTAAACATAGGAAATTTGCACCCAGACATTTCTGGGTTCATATTCAGATTTGGTGGCCCTTGGGTGATGCCTTTAAGTCTCTGAGTTTCAGTTTGCTTATCTGTGAAATGGGGCAGATAACATCAGTCACCTCATGAGGTTGCATGGACAATGAAATCAGTATGAAAAAATGATTAACACATCACCTAGTACTAAGAATGGCACCATCAATCTTAATTATTAGTTGTTACTATTTGGAAAGATATCAGTACCAGGATTCATTCACTCATTCATTCACTCAGTATTGACCATGCACTGATTTGAGCTGGGCTCTGCCCTCATGAAGCAGAGGTCCCACCTTTCCCACTATACCATGATTTCAAGGCAAACATTACTATTTGGAAAGATATCAGTACCAGGATTCATTCATTCATTCACTCATTCACTCACTCAATATTGCCCATGCACTGATTTGAGCTGGGCTCTGCCCTTATGAAGCAGAGGTCCCACCTTTCCCATTATACCATGATTTCAAGGCAAACGTGTTCCAACGCCTTGCTGAAGTGAAGTAAGTCATCTGTGTTTACACCATTAAAGAGGATTTATTTTGATTTTGAAATGATTGAGGCTAACAGGGAGTTACCAAAATAATACACAGAAGTCCCGTGTACCCCTCACCCAGCTTCCTCCAATGCTAACATCATAGATAATCACAGGGACATTGTCAAAACCAGGAAACTGACATTGGTGTGTACAGTGAACTCAACTGGAGTAGGAGAACTTATTCAGATTTCACTGCTTTTTACATGCACTTGTGTGTGTGTGTTTCTGTACCATTTTATCACAGGTATAGATTCATGTAACCACCACCACAATCAAGATACAGAACTGTTCCAGCTTTACAAAGTAATTCATTTATGCAACCCCTTACCAGGAAACTGACATTGGTGTGTACAGTGAACTCAACTGGAGTAGGAGAACTTATTCAGATTTCACTGCTTTTTACATGCACTTGTGTGTGTGTGTTTCTGTACAATTTTATCACATGTATAGATTCATGTAACCACCACCACAATCAAGATACAGAACTGTTCCAGCTTTACAAAGTAATTCATTTATGCACCCCTTTACAGTCACACACATATCCCCACACACACTGTTCCATCCTCTAGCAACCACACACACACACACACACACACACCCCACACACACTGTTCCATCCTCTAGCAATCTCTCTCCATTCAAACGGAATCTTTTGGCTGAATTTTCTCGATTCACCAGCTCTGGTGGCCTGGACAAACTCTCACCTCTCTTAACTCCTCCACTAGGGCCATTGGGAAGGTCATAGCCACATAGGGGTCCATGGGGTGACTGCCAATGAGGTGTAGGGAGTGAGAGAGAGGAAGTGATAGGGATGAGTGGTGGTCTGGAGCAGAGTCCTGGAGAATATAGAGAATAAAAGGAAGGAGCGAGGGGCCAGGATAGGGAGAGAGAGAGATGGGAGTCATGCATCAACCTCTCTGGAGTCCCAGAAACCTGGATTCCAGTTCGGCTTCTGCCATTTCCGATCTAAGTGGCCCTGTGCCAGTTCCTTCACCTCTTTGAGCCTCAGTTTCTCCACCTGTAAAATGGGAAGCATACCTGTACACTGTTTACGCAGAGGTGAAGATGGGGCGGATGTCTGTTGCTCTCTTTTCCGCGCTTAAGAATTGGGGGTGGGTAGAAGTCTTATGTTGCTCCCGCCCCACTCAGCCCCTCCGTCTGCCCGCAGCTCAGAGCCCGACCATGGCTGAGACCCTCCATCCTGCCTTCTCCGGAGTCCAGCAGTACACAGGTAGGGAGGCACGCCGGCCTGCCCCGCAGGAAGCCCGCCCCGTAGAAGCCCCGCCCCCAGGGCTCGGCCCTTCCTCTTTCTTTCTCTAATCTTTCTTCCTACTTCTGGCCGTGGCCCAATCCCAGCTCTTTGCCCTGCTGGTCCCGCCCCTCAGATCCTGCCTAAGGTCGGCCTTGGCCCCGCCCCTAACCCGTGTCCCCGCCTCTCAAGTCTGGGCTGCTCCGTTGCCTGGGCCCCACCCCTAGGCCGGCTCTTCGTTGTGGCCCCGCCCCTCCTCCTTCCCAAGACCCACTATTGGCCCCGCCCTCAGCCTGGGCCCCTCCCC